ACACAGGCACTCAGAGTACACTTCTATTCTAGCACTTACTACTTTGTGTTGAGATCAGCTTTTATACATAAGTATTTTTCTCTCTACTAAAAGCACCTTGAGGATAAGGAATATATTTGTACTTTTTTAAAGAATATAAAACATACATAGAAAATAACATAATAGATATGTAATTTTCATAGACTTTCATGGACCCAATGCTAAATTTAATGAAATGTAGCATTTCCTGTAAGTGTGTCTTTTCCACCTTTATATTCACAGTGTCTGGCGAAGAGTAGGTACAAAATAAACACTTATTGAACTAAAGGTAAATTCATATGAAGAGTTGCATATATAAAACAATGTGTTACACAGAGATTTCTGTTTATGAACATTTCTTAATACTATTCTGTTCCTCTTGGGCTACTTGGAAGAAGATTGTAAATATGTTCCGTGATTTGATGGTCGTAGCCAAATAATATTGGCATGTGTATGTGTGTAATTTCTTTTTATCTTCATTAGTTAAAACATTAAAATTGTAGTTCTAGTTATAAGGGTTTTTTGTTTGTTTGTTTTTAATGAGACTTTTACACAAAGTCAATTTCAGGCAAGTTCTGTAAAGCAAACAAAAAAATACTGTTTCTTAAAAGTGAAGCTGTTGGTGTTTATTTAACGTATTAGTGGCAGAAATTCTAGAATTGTCCTAGTTAAACAGACTTTTAATCATTAATTTACTCTAACAAGTGTAATGTTTGAAATAGTCATAGCTTATGAGCTATTTACATAATCTCTATGCTCTTTCCATTAAACGTTTTGCTAAATTTAACACTGCTATTAAAATAGAACATGCACCAGAAATTTTTAAAAAGTAAATATTGATATACTTTTCAAGCAATATTAAAATTTAGAAAATCATGTGTTGAATATTAACCTAATTTCTCCATTATGCATAATTCCTCATAGATCAAGAAATCTTAAGATAGTAGAATCAGTTATTTCTTACTATTTATGACAAAGCTCCACAAATACCATTCAGAATATTTAGTAATTGATTAAAGTTTAAGGATCGAGTTAGATAAGCAGTTATCTTAGGAAACGCACATGCTGGAGAAGCCCTACAAAACTTGACGAGATAGTGCAGAGTCGAGAGGTATACTCATTCTCAGATATAGTTCATTCTTTTTCCCATTTTTTTCAAACCTCCACTTCCTTCTCTGTCTAAACAATTTCTAATTTTGCTTCCAAAATAACTAAGGAAGTAGAAGCAATTGAAGATGATGCCCAATAAACCATTTCCTTATATAATC